ATTTATTTATTTATTTATTTATTTATTTATTTATTTATTTATTTATTTATTTATTTATTTTTGCCCTTGGCTCATATCTCTTTTACCTGACCTCATCATTCCCAGAAATCCTCATTGTTGAGCATTCTGAAAAGAATGTTTAAAGTCTGACTTAATTAAACATTCATGAAGAAAGAGGCCTGCAGGGGGAGACATTCTCTAGAGTCTAAAACAGAATATTCATGCTGATCTGTCAAGGCCTCAGATCTGTGCTGCTGGGTTTTAAAAGCAGCCCCTGTAAAAAATAAAACCTCAGAGCACCTTTAACCTGAACATAAAAACTTGCAAATATCTTGATTAAAGTCATATCTGCTCATGCGTGTGATAGTAGCTGACTGTCATTCATGATATTCCAAACTTATGGTTTTGTAAATGGTCAAGGGCTCGATCTTAGTTTAAAATATTAAAAGCATCAGGTAGTATGTGTTTCTTCAAAGTATGCTAGGTCACTAAATTGATTCTAAATACTGGTAAAATAATACTCTCCTAAGTTTGGAAAACAGGCAACAGTCCAGTTTTCGCAACAGTTTGCGTTTCAGTTCTCGTGCTCGTAATTACATACCAACTATTAACAATCCTTTTCTCAGAAATTTAAAGAATAGCGTGTTTGTGTCTTCAGCATGCTGATGAATGGGTTTTACTCCCTTGCTCAATTTCTGACAACTTTTGGAAAATGCGACAGAAGGTGTGTGACACAAGCTTTGAAGTGAAGGAGCTGAAGGAAGTGAAGTCACTGAAGTTCTCTTTTGGTCCCAGTAAAACAAGGAAGACTGTGGGTTTTAAAAACTACATGCTCATACCATTTCATGTCAACATGACATTGAAACCCAAATGTTCCATTTTATTTGAGCTTCTATTTGATTTTTTTGGTTTTACTTCTCTCGGTTTCAAAATGAGATCATAATCGTCGCTGCATACGGAATGTGCTTCTTGCTCAGGCTGAGTCATGACGATACTCCCCTCACTGAGGCTATAGGTGCAGTGGCGTTGTTTCCTCAGGTGTTTTCGCCTTCCACCTTTCAGGTTTTTCAAGTCTGTCAAGAGCAAAAAAAGGGTAGGCAAGGCAGGGAAAACATGGGAGTGAGACAATAGCAGCGTGTTGAGTTTATRCTGAAGCTGAAAAGGATCAGATTATTACCAAGAATAAGCAGCGTCTCATCGGCGTATAAAGTTACCAGGAATCTTCAATTAAACTCTAACAGAATCAATAATGTTCATTTTTATTGTATTTTTTTGTGTAGCTGTGTTTGTTAGTGTGTGACACCACTAAACTGGTGTGAAGGAATAAATAACCTGAGTTTTGGACTCTAGCACACCTGAATAAAATCATGCACACACATGTCTACACACATGTAAACTGATACTGCACTCATATACTGACACAGGCAAAACTCAGCTGTAAAAAGAAAATAACGTTTCAGCTGAGTAATGATGAAGACAGGATTAGACCTGCAGAAACATCTGTCTAGTGGGTCAGTGAAAACACGAATAGGGCAGGTTAGCTGCAGTTTTTTAAATCACATTTGAGCCATTTAATGTGAATTTTGAGGGACTGCTTAAATTATTTTTGCAAAAAATGCATCGTTGGTTTTAATGAGTACAATTAAACATGGAATAACAAAACGTTTTTAAGATCAAATGCAAATTACAGCATTTTTATTTAGCAGCAAAGAGAATAATGAGATAAAATTTGAATTTATGAGGTTAGGAATATGAATAATTTTGTTTTTATTATTATTATTATTATTATTATTATTATTATTATTATTATTATTATTATTATTATTATTATTATTATTATTATTATTATTATTATTATTATTATTATTATTATTGATCACAGTAGGTCTGATAATTTGCAAGCACCTTTCTAGTAGGTTCATGATTAAATGTATTCATTTAATTATGAAGACTGGTGGAAACATTTTCAAAACATTATAAAACTTAGTTTGCACCCGTTATTTTCTCATCTAAATTGTTAATGTGCCCTTAAATTATATATTTCTAAGCAACGCTGGGATTAATAAGTCTGACATCGATGATGTTTCGGTCCATACCCACGCTTAGATTTGCTGAGTAAAGGAGGCAAATTCAAGTGTTTTGTTTACAATGAGCGCATACCTGCATTTTAGAGTTGTGTATCTGGGAAAACTAAATAAACTCTTCCACACGGCACCGATATAGTTCAGCATAACATTTATATTTTTAAAATTATAGTTTGCAAAATGTATGTTTATAAGGTGCTCAAGCCAGACACTGTCTTTGTTTGAATGCAGACATATCTTTCTATGTTTACAATTAGGGTAAAAAAGAACAACAACAAAAAAAGAAAACTATTAATCGATTATTAAATTAGTCATCGATTTTTTAAATAATCGATTAGTCGTCGATTAATCGATTAATCGTGGCAGCCCTATTTACAATTAAAAAATACATTTTTTAATTCAAATTTTTTGTGAGAGGCTGAGAAAGARGGGTTAAAATGTACAAAGTGAAGCATATGTCATATCAGGGCACTGTTACCCCCTGGGTCATATTCAGTAAATGGAGCATTCTTAATTTTCCTGCTTTATTTACAGACTATTTATAAGCTGTAGCTCAGTGCAATAAATAATAAACAATAATAAACATCTTCAGATGAACACTGTGGTCATAATTTCCGAAAAATAAAAAGTTTATTATCTTGGAAAGCATTAGTTTTAAGATTTTGAATTTATATCAGAGCTCCTGGACTATTTTAAAGCTCTGACGCTGAAGAAAACTCATCTCTGTTGACATATTTTGCTCGTTATTATGCTAATTTAAGAACTCTGTTGCATATTTGCTTAGATTATTGTCTTAGATTATCTCCTTCCCGTCCTGTACCCGCACATTCTTGTCAAAAAAGAAAAAAAAAACGCCACGGGCGGACGGATCAAACCATTTTTACAGGGGAGCGTTCTCAAACTTATAATTTATTTATTTAGAATAAATCTGTCCACTGGAGTTGTACCTAAACTTAGCAGGTATATAATAAATCTGCATAGACGCTTCAAATGGTTTACTGTGTCAACTGTTTTGTTTATAAATCGTATAGAAAACGCAATTGGGAAATTCCACCCCTTGAAATTCCCGAATAGTGGAGTCATCCGGGCTCTGCCATGTTGGATGGAGCTGGCTCTAAAACGGAAGCACTTCCAAGTAAACTTTTAGCGTGTTCTGTCTGCGCTCGGTTGCTCCAGTATTTTGGTCCTATTTTGAGACGCTACGGGAAGAATCAGAACCACATTCCTAAACAGGATTCCTTTATTTTTAAAACTAAGTCTTGAGGGGACACAGGACGGACCGGTGTGAGAGGTCGCGGACAGGCCACACGGATGACMGTCCGGGGGATTGTTTATGTATCTTTTTTGGATCTCGCATAACGAGTTTAGTAGCTGCAGACTCTGATCACTAATCATGAGTGGACATCCGCCGCCACGGCGGCAAGTCAATGTTGGTTCCCTGCTTCTGTCTCGGGAGGAGAATGAAAGCCTTTTTAACTACCTTGGCAAAAAATGCAGCGTAAGTTAGTTTTTTTTTCTTCCCCTCATTAAATTGTTCTGTGTTAGCTTGTCAAAACAAAAAGCTGTCATTAGCTAGCTAGCGTAGCGACGACTAACCAAGCCAGGAGTTCATAGAGCTGTTAAATCCATCAAGGAGGGRAAAAAAAACGAGTTATTTTTCACTGGAATTATATAATAACGTGGCTGAACCTTGGTTGTTTTCGGGAAGTGTGTTCAGCCAGAAGAATGTGCCGACTAGCTTAGAGCAGAGACTTGCTCAAGGCTTTTTGCCAGCTACTAAATCTGACAAAAGCGATGGGGAGTCGCCTTCTGTTCCAGTGTGACTTACAGATCACTGGTGCATTGTCACGACTCAGTTTAGCCCAATTTAAAAAAAAAAAACGTTCATTACGTAAGACATTGGGCATTCATCTGATTAATTTTCATGTTCATCTTCTTGGACGCTTTGTCTCAACAAGCCCCAAATAGTCCAATTATTTTTGGTATGTTCAGTCTGCTCCACACTGAACACTTCAATTGTTTTGGCTCTGTAAGAAAAGCCTTTCCATGTCTTATTCTGGCACTGGGAATTTTTTTTTTTTTTTTTTGCATAACTCATCATTTATGCATCACCACTGATTTCCTGATTTGATTCCTTTCTGTCCAAGTGGACCTCTTTTGCACCCACCTTCTGTTGCTATTTTAGTTGCAATTTTCTTTCTTTTAAAATAACAAAACACGCCATATGTGTATACTGAATCACATGCCCAGCCTTTTTTGATTTCATTGTAAATAGGGGTGTAAGAAAATATCGATACACTGAAATATCGCGATATTTCATTTCCCGATACTGTATTGATATTCTAAAGCCCTGTATCGATATTTAATTAAGGTTTAAAATGTCTGCCTTCTTGCAAACCGTTCTTTTTTATGTTGTAGTTCAGCCTCTGACCACTAGTTGGCAGCAGTGAGCCAGCCATTTGGCTCCTCTACCTCTTGAGCTCCAGAGAGTAAGAGAGCATTAGCATTGTAAGTAAACATTAGCTTTTCTTCTTTTTTTTTCAGTAATAGGTTTTTATTTAATAGAATTTTTGGACCAATAAATCGCAATATATCGCCTTGCTTACAGTATTGCAATATATCGTATCGTGACCCCTCTGTCATGATATGTATCGTATCGCCAAATTCTTGCCAATACTAGGGCTGTGTATTGGCAAGAATTTGGCGATATGATGCATATCATGACAAAGGGGTCATGATACGATATATCCCGATATATTGCGATACTGTAAGCAAGTCGATATATTGCGATTTTTTTTGTCCAAAAATTCTATTAAATATCTGCCTTCTGTAACGTTGGAAAAAAGAGCACACGACACTTAATTTGGCTTAAAATCCAGATATTCTGACAAATAAGTAACTGTTTGTAACCTTACCTCAGCTTAGAAGGCAGAGGGTGTCGGTCTTTTCCGCTCAGATTCAGCTATCGGAGCATGACGCTAATGTTTACTTACAATGCTAATGCTAACCTTGCTCTCTGGTGCTCAAGAGGTAGAGGAGCCAAATGGCTGGCTCACTGCTGCCAACTAGTGGTCAGAGGCTGAACTACAACATAAAAATGAACGGCTGGCAGGAAAGTTGACATTTTAAACCTTAATTAAATATCGATACAGGACTTTAGAATATCGATACAGTATCGGGAAATGAAATATCGCGATATTTAAGTGTATCGATATTTTCTTACACCCCTAGCCAATACACAGCCCTAATTGTAAAATACAGACATCAGATTAGTTCATGTTTACTGATTGGCTTAAATTTGTGCTGTGGCTTCTCACAATTTAGTCAAAGTTGGAAAGTTTCGCACCCACTAATGAATCTTATTTAATCACACACGATATTTGGTTAAAAACAAGCACAGGCCACTTGATATGAATTGTCCTTTTTTATCATTTACACCGCTTAGAACAGTGGTTCCCAAACTTTTTATCTTCTGACCCACAAAATATCCATGGCAAAAACTTGTGACCCCAAATATTACTGGTCTGAGTACACAAACGTCATTAATAATCCTAAAAACACAGGCTTTTTGACAATCTAAACAGCTTGTACACAAATATAAACACTTGTACTTATTTTTGTAGTGGTTATAGGGAAAATATTACATCAGCAATTATTTTATTACCCATTTCTGGAGATTATCCAAGGTGCTTCATGACCCATAATTGGGTCCCAAGCCCATTTTTGGGAACCAAAGTGCAATGGTTCCCAAACTTTTCAGCTTTTGACCCAAAAAAATAACAGTAGCAGAGACCTGTGACCCCAACTATTTTTGGATGATAAACATTTGTATCAGGTCAACTAAACATGGGCATATACACTATTTTTATACCACATTTATCCATTTTAAATACACTAACCTCACTCCTTTTGTAACAACTAAGACAAAATTGTAATTAATTCAGAAAATCTTTTCAGGACCCCACTTTGGGTCCCGACCCCAACTTTGGGAAACGCCAGCTTAGAAGAACTTGTACACTATAAAATGATTAGAAGAGCACTCTTATCCAAATAATAATAATAATTGTAGGCTTCTGTTAACTGATTGTTCATTTATTTTCCTTTTTGGTAATTAAGTATGTCCAGTTGTCAGTATTTTATTTTTAGGTAGCCAAATATAAGCTGTAAATCTCTTAATTTATTGACCTCATGTAATAAGTGACTTGACACAGTTTCCTCTGCAGAGTTTTATCTTTAGGCAGCTGACTGGTTTGTCCCATTTAGTGGCCCATTTGTTCATTGTTGCCACACAAAAGGCAGAAGTTTTATATTTTGTTTTAAAGTTGTTTCCAGTGACCTCAGTCAGCCATATGAAGCAAGGCCAGAAGTTTTAGATTTCACTGTCAGACAATGCAGAAAGAACAATGATGTAGATCATCAGGTTTTTGCACCTTGCAACATATCAGCTGCAAGGTGTGATGCTGTGATTCATTTACTCCACCGATAAAGCCTGTTTTTAAAGTTGACAGTTTTGGTTTTTATTGCAGAGTCTTGTACAAGTTGATTTTTATTTTTGATTTTGAGAGGCACTGGCGTAAAGGTGATCAAAAGAAATCTGTTTTAAGAATTGCGCTAACACTTCCTGTTCTCAGGTTACTTCCCCATAGTTGTCATCGTTTCCTGTATTTGCGAGTCGTGAAGGTGCTTGAGGGACTGAAATTAATTTCCTCCTCTTTTATGATTAACTTGCAGCCACCCAACCGTGCTGCTATTGTTTGAGATGTTTGTGTGCATGTTTGCTTTAAAAAGAGAGAGAGAGAGAGAGAGAGAGAGAGAGAGGAAGGCCAGGTTTCCTGTCTTACGACACACACCGCCAGGTCTGCATGAGATCACCTGTCAGTATGTCCCGCCCTCCTCCTCCTCCTCCTCCCTCTACACACAGTTTTTTTTTTCTTTAAGGTGTGTCCTGGCACTATGTTTGAGATCCTGTGACAGCGTTTCTCTGGCATCCGGGTTGTGCTGTTACAGCATGTGATGCAGAGTCCGAGACATTCCTCCCAGTCCCACTCTTCGTTTGCATTTGTATGTCTCTTTATGCAGGCTGGAAACAAAACGTGTGTGTGTGTGTGCGAGAGGCTGACTGATGAAGTGGGAGGCTGGGAGTGATTGACGTTATGCGTCTTTCTAGAAAATCTAATTAGAATACCCGGCAGAGAGTGACGCGTTGTTTTACTGGATGACTGCATGTCGTCGAACTTGTTTTTGAGGCAGAAAATGTGAAAACTCTAAAAAAATGTCATCTTTAAAATATTTGCAAAGCCCTCCCTTTTGAAGTGGGCAGATTTACAGAAAGTGTCAGTAGTTTATGGAAAGCAGCTTGTCTCTTCTTGAATATTGATTTTGGCAGCTCTTGGTTTGTTTCCAGCGTTCCTYGGGAGTGGCTTCTCTAATAAAGTTACCCAGAACTGGAGTTTTCCTAAAATCCAACCATTGTTGCTTAAAAATGTGTATTTTAGAGCTTTAAATTATTAAATTTGCTGTCAAAAGCAAAGCGAGAAATGTAGGCACATAAATTCAGATATATTTTTTTTCTGTATTGTTTTTTTTTTTTAATTGTGATCTCATTGACATGCCAGACACCCTTACACAATACACTTACTGATTGCTTTTACTCATTAGTATTCTTTGTGCCCTTGCCACCGTCAGAATCCCTGTCTTACTTGGCTAAAGGTGGAACGGGTCCAGTTCACGCTGTGTGTGTGTGTCTGTGTGCCCTGACTGCCTGATCAGCAGTCCTGTCCTACAGGAAGTCCYGTGGTTGGCCTCCTCTGTTTAGTTTTTTCTTTTCTCAAAGAAAAAATATCATGTATTTCCTCTACGTTTACTTAATTTTTACCTCTGTCAGTTTCTTATAGTTTTTGCAGTCATGTACTTTGTTTTTCTAGAATTTAGCAGTTCTGATTTGTTGGTTGTTTCTTACCTTTTCTCTACATTTCACTCACTCCCTGTTTTATGCCCACTTCTAAAAGCTAATTTTACAATACTGAAACTCTCATGTCAGGAGTGGAGGTGTGCTTGTTGATCCCAACCATAGTAGGGCTGGGCAATATGGCTGAAAAATGTATCACAGTATAAGCATTTCATATCAATAGGGTTTCCTATTGATATGAAATGCTTACATCGTGATAAATTAGGGTTTTTTTTTGTTTTACCCTTTTTGATGCATGCCTAATCAGAATATACTTTCAATTTCTGATCTTTTTTTCCCCTCGAGTTTTTCTTGTACTGACTTTGTGTTGCATCACATCATCAGGTCATCACAGTTGTAGAACAGAGCAGCAGAGAGGTGACGTGTTCTTAGCTTTGAGTGTTTTGATCAAGCTTTGATGACGTCACACAGCCTTTGGCTCTGTCAGAAACGGTCAAAGTTCTGCAGTGACATGACGCCAAAGGGTCCCAGAGTCTAAATGCACCACAGAGCAGGATTGTCATCATTATCTTCATAACTGAGGATTCTGATCCAAGCCCAGTTGTGCGCAGTGATGCTGCCAAATTACTGTAATAATTTTTTTTTATATCAGAATAAAAATACTTTACAGGATACAGGAAATTCACGGTTTGTTTGGTTCTATGCTTTAGTCTCTCGGTTCCATATTTTTTCTATACAAAAAAAGAGAATTTTCTATGCCATTCTGTAATTTATTGAAATTAATTATGAACATTTGTTTAACCTCAAAAGTAGGGGTGTAAGAAAATATCGATACACTTAAATATCGCGATATTTCATTTCCCGATACTGTATCGATATTCTAAAGTCCTGTATCGATATTTAATTAAGTTTTAAAATGTCAACTTTCCTGCCAGCCATTCATTTTTATGTTGTAGTTCAGCCTCTGACCACTAGTTGACAGCAGTGAGCCAGCCATTTGGCTCCTCTGCCTCTTGAGCACCAGAGAGTAAGGGTAGCATTAGCATTGTGAGTAAACATTAGCTTCATGCTCCGATAGCTGAATCTGAGCGGAAAAGACCGACACCCTCTGCCTTCTAAGCTGAGGTAAAGTTACAAACAGTTACTTATTTGTCAGAATGTCTGGATTTTAAACCAAATTAAGTGTTTTGTTCGCTCTTTTTTCCAACTTTAGTCAGCCTTCACGTTACAGAAGGCTAGCGCATGTCTATGTAATAGAATTTTCTGAGACAATGAATTTTGGTTTTTCTTTTTTTTTTTCCAGTAAGAGGTTTTTATTTAATAGAATTTTTGGACCAAAAAAATCGCAATATATCACCTTGCTTACAGTATCGCAATATATCGGGATATATCGTATCGTGACCCGTCTGTCATGATATGTATCGTATCGCCAAATTCTTGCCAATACACAGCCCTACTCAAAAGTACAGTTTTTAAATGAAATGTTGTTGAAACAGCAAGTTTCTGAGTGGATCTGCACTCGACAATGCAACCTACATAGAGTAGTTGAACACAGATCCACAGAGCATCTTCAGAAGACAAGTTGATAAAATTAATTTAAAAAATTCATATTGTTCGATACAAGTGTGTATTGAACCTAAAGCACTGTATTGAATGGTTCGTTACAGATTATGTGCAGTTACACCCTTACTTTATGAGTATATTGTATTCTAGTTGGCTGAACTCTCAATAAAMTCTRGTTTCTTGTGAATCARATGCAAATTTTGGTCGGRCATWACAGAACAAACAGGTCATCTAATGTAGCATCGTTCTACTTTGCTAATTTATATCTTGTGTGTTGAACTATTGTTTACGTCAAGCAGGGTTTCCTGGAATTGGAGTAAAAACACCTCGAAAGCAGCATCAAATTTTGCCCCCTTATGATGCTCTTTGCTTTCATGTGTGTCTGAGTGGCTGTGAAACCGGAACCCCCCGTGTGACAAAACCCCTGCAGCCATATGTAAAAATGGTGGGAGGTTAATCTGGCTTTGTGATCTTGTCTACAGGTGGTTTTTAATTTTTATTTTATTTTTTTACCATATTGCATAGAACAATATAGGCTTGTTTTATCGAGYAGCTTCATCCACAAGAACACAAACAGAAATGTGGTTCTGCTACAGGATTCAAAATGTGGATTTTCTCTGGAACTTTAAGATGTGCAAACTTAAATTTACTGTGTATTAAGGAGGCATTAAATGTGTGGGGGGAGCTTAGTATGGCTGAAATACTGAGGGATTTTAGACGTGGCTGTGTTCTCATGTGAGYTTTGTTTGCTTTAGGATACTGTCCTTTGTCACTGACAGAAACTCCTGCTCAATAAGATTCTGTCTAAAGTCCAACAAGGTGCAGGCTATAAYAATGTGTTATTGTAAAAACGTAACAACCGTGCTTTGATTCTGGGAATCGTTTGTCATCAGGTCAGGAAAAWTTTATAACAGTCATTCTTCTCTTTAGGCGTTGGCAAGATTTTGTGCCAAAYACAGAAGCCACTAAAACGTAATTAGTGCCACCGTGGATTGGCGTCACACCTTTGGAACTGGCAGGTCAAGCGGTATCCAGTTTTTATTACACGTGGTCGTTTGTTATTAAAGACGGGTGTGGACTCTGACAGAGTTAATGTAACACCTTCAAACCTGCGCTGTCTGACAATCAGTAATAGATGACATCTGTTTGTATAAAGGTGTGTTTTTACTGAAGTCTACAGACTTTTTGATCCCATTTCAAACTTATTTCAGTAACAATTTCCAAATGAATTTGTAGCTTCTTTTAACTAGTTTCTAGTCTTGATCATTAAGACTTTTTCTTCTTCTGCTACCTTTCATTTAATTTGTGATTTGTATATTGTTGTGTATAGAATTTGTTGTTGCGTTTTAGATAAATGAGTAAATTAAACACAAATGTATTTTTTGTTTTTTTTCCCTCCTCAGTCTTTGTCTTCAGCAGTGGTCCAGGTGTACACAGGAGACAGAAATGGCAGCTGGAGCAAAAAATGCTGTGGGGTGGCRTGCTTGGTCAAAGATAACCCTCAGAGGTCGTACTTCATCAGGGTCTGGGACATCAGGGTAGGTGCAAACATGTTGTATCCATCAATGTAATAAATGGTACATGATGCYAGAATTGGACAACCCAGTAGGCAGTGTTGTTTTTGACTGCCATTTTAATTTTAGTCTTAGTCTTTTGAACAAAAATACATCTTGGTGTTAGTCATTTCTATATTTAATGGTTTTAGTCGGGTTTTAGTCATTTCTATATTTAATGGTTTTAGTCGAGTTTTAGTCATTTCTATATTTAATGGTTTTAGTCGAGTTTTAGTCTACGAAAGCTTAAAAGAAATTGTTTAGTTTTAGTCTTTAAAAAAAGACAACATATTAGTCTTTACAAATTAATTTGAGTGATTTGTGTTGACACTTGTGAATTTATGTTACTCTAAAAATGCCCAAAACAAAAACATTCTCACTTTGTGGCTTTATTTCTCAGAATTTGTTAAAGTGCAATGAACATACAGCGGGTAAAATAAGTATTGAACACATCACCATTTTTCTCAGTAAATATATTACTAGATGTATGAAATTTTCACCAGTTGCGGGTAACAACCCAAGTGATCCATACATACAAAGAAATCAAACATAAATGTCCAGAAATGAAGTTATTTGTAATAATGTGGAATGGCACAGGGAAAAAGTATTGAACACATGAAGAAAGGGAGGTGTAAAAGGGCATGGAAAGCCAAGACACCAGCTGAACTCTCTCAGTAATTAGAAAGCAAGCCTGTCCCTTGTCAGTGCAAGTTAATATCAGCTGGTTCAGTCCCAAATGATGRCCAGGTATCACACAAGAACCATCTGATGATGGGTAAAAGTAAAGAGCTCTCTCAAGACCTTCACAACCTTATTGTTGCAAAGCATAATGATGGCATCGGTTACAGAAGAATGTCTAAACTTCTGAAGGTTCCAGTGAGCACTGTTGGGGCCATAATTCAGAAGTGGAAAGAACATCATTTCACCATAAACTGACCATGACCAGGTGCTCCTCACAAGATTTCTGACAGGGGAGTGAAAAGAATTATCAGAAGAGTTGTCCAAGAGCCAAGGACCACTTGTGGAGAGCTTCAGAAAGACCTGGAATTAGCAGGTACGATTGTTTCAAAGAAAACAATAAGTAATGCACTGAACCACCATGGCCTGTATGCACGCTCACCACGCAAGACTCCACTGCTGAAGAAACAGCATGTTGAAGCTCCTTTAAAGTTTGCTGCACAACATTTAAACAAGCCTGTGTAATACTGGGAGAATATAGTCTGGTCAGATGAGACCAACATTGAACTGTTTGGATGCCAGGATACACATCATGTTTGGAGGTCAAAWGGCACTGCACATCAGCCCAAAAACACCATACCAACAGTGAAGTTTGGAGGTGGGAACATCATGGTGTGGGGCTGTTTTTCAGCATATGGTACTGGCAAACTTCAAATAATTGAAGGAAGGATGAGTGGAAAAATGTACAGAGACATTCTTGATAAAAATCTGCTTCCATCTTCCAGGATGATGAAGATGAAACATGGCTGGACATTTCAGCAAGACAATGAGCCCAAACACAAAGTCAAGGAAACTCTCAGTTGGTTTCAGAGAAAGAAACTAAAGCTGCTGGAATGGCCCAGCCAATCACCTGACCTGAATCCAACAGAAAATCTATGGAAAGAACTAAAGATCAGAGTTCATAGAAGAGGTCCACGAAACCTTCAAGATTTGAAGACTGTTTGTGTGGAAGAATGGGCCAAAATCACACCTGAGCAATGCATGCCACTAGTTTCTCCATACAGGAGGYGTCTTGAAGCTGTCATTGACAACAAAGGCTTTTGTACATTTGTTAGATAAATTTCAGTAAGTGTGTTCAATACTTTTTCCCTGTGCCATTCCACATTATTACAAATAACTTAATTTCTGGACATTCATGGTTTGATTTCTTTGTATGTTGGATCACTTGGGTTGTTACCAACATCTGGTGAAAATTTCATGTCATTAGCACCTCTAGTAATATATTTACTGAGAAAAATGDTGACGTGTTCAATACTTATTTTACCCGCTGTACAAAATACACATGCCCAATATAAAAAGCAATAAAGGGGAACACACATGTTAAACTCAAACTTGTCAGCCAGGACGATGAAGCTGCATCTTATTTATAAAAACGGACATCATGCAGTCCTAAACTTGGTATTAAACTTGTGCAAACGAGTGTTTACATGCACCAGGCTTTTATTCAGAACAGAAGCACTGACGTGCAGTTGCTAACTCCCCCCAGCCAAAAATAAAAAGTTTTACTTTCGTTATGAACGAAAACAAACAGCTACTGAGCTCAGAATGGGCTTGCGACAGCTTTTAATGGCGGAGACGTTACTCACTGGTTAAACTACAGGTGACGGACGGACTTTTTTTTCTTTTTGCGAAGCGGAACAGGCTGTTTGTCGTTCTTTACTGAATGAGAGGAGGAAATGTTCTGTGCTGCTGTGTGTGTGCGCGTGTCACAGYGCTGCTGTCCCTCCCTCCACTCTGCATTCTAAACGATTGGCAGACCACCGACTAGCGTTTTCGTTACAGTCTCGTCAACGAAAACTCACACACGTTTCGTCATGTCTTAGTCATCAAAGAGCTATGTTTAGTTCATTATCGTCATGAAAAAAGAGGACGTCAACGAAGATATTTCGTCATCGTTAATGAAAACAACACTGCCAGTTAGGGTTGGGCATAATCGTATCGTGTGCAATTAATAATCAGAAAAATATTAATCGATTTTTTTTTTTTTTTGGCACTTCACGATTAATACAATTAATGCCACCAGGCAGACTGACCGCTCGGTGCTCCTCTCTGCTTCAAATATGATGAATATTTAAAAAAACTGTTCTGTAATTTATTTATCCATCAACACAATTTAAATTTGATGTACAGCCTGAAGTCTGTAATTTTGACACAATTTGGAACAGATTTTTATAAAGAGCAAATCTTTCCCACTAAATTGGTCATGTGACTAGGACATAATGGTGTCCAGGGACTCCAGGGGATTAATCGTCAAATTAATCCTTATTGGCTAAATACCACAATTAATCGTGACTAATTTTTTTGCCAATATTGCCCAACCCTACTGCCAGTAGGATTGGTGAAAGGGATTTACAACTACTAGTTGTTGTTGTTGTTGTTGTTGTTGTTGTTGTTATTATTCATACAGACCATGAACAGAATTATTTGTCAAAAGAAAGCAAATGTTTAAGTGGAATATACAACCCTATTCCAAAAAGTCGGGATGAGGAGGTAAATTTGAATTTTATGGCACCAACACATGTCAAATTAAAGACAGGACAGGGGCAACAAAGGGCCGTAAAAGTTAGTGGTGTGAAAAATAAAAGCTGGAGGAGCTTTTTGCAACTAATTAATAATTAGGTTAATTGCCAACAGGTCAGTAAGAGTTATAAGAAGAGCATTATAGGGAGGCTGAACCTCAGAAGTAAAGATTTGAAACTTTGTCCTGTACTAAACAGCAGCGAGACCACGCAGGCTGTTTTAGTGCACGGTTGAAAAGCTTGCCTCTCGTTTGGTATGGGGATGCATTGTACTTTTAGCATGGGCAGCTTACAGATCTAGAAAAACACTATTAACTCAAAATGGTACACAGGTTTTAGAACATATACACCTGTCTAGATTACGTTTTCAAAGCATGCCTTGTATATTTCAGCAAGGTGATGCAAAACAGGGCATTGAGTTCATTACAACAGTTTGGCTTCACAGTAGAAGAGTCGAGGTGCTGAAATATATTTTATGTTAAACTATTTCTGTTTAACTGTCAATGGTCTAAATGGTTTTGTCTTTGTGTTTTCTGCAGGACGGCAGGATGATGTTTGAACAGGAGTTGTACAACAACTTCTCCATACACAGTCCCAAAGCTTACTTCATCACGTTTGCTGGAGATGTGAGTTTTCTTATTTATTTCAGATCCTTATCGTCTCATTCATTTACATATTTTTTGTCGCATTTCTGTGTTTTTATGAACAGACGTGCCAAGTGGGTGTGAACTTTGCCGATAACGAGGAGAGCAAGCGTTTCCAAAGCTGCTTGTCTGATCTGATTGGGAGAAAACAAAGGAGAACCGGTAACAAATGTTCTGCTTCTTTACCTGCAAATCTATCTGCTGAACCATGTTCTGCAAAAAAAAAAAAAGAGAAACGGGTAAAAAAAAAATGGCGAGATTAGATTTTTTTTTGTTTTAAATCTTGTTTTTGAGCTCATGTTGAAACCAAACCAGTTAATTTGAAATGAAGTTCAGTAAACAGTTGGGCTTGGAAAGATCTGAGGAAGTGGAGATTAAAATAATTTCTAAATTTGTCATTTTTTTAAGCGTTATTCAATTCCAAGAACTGGGCAAAAAAGATGAATTTTCATTGTGAATGCAGGATTTAAAACAAGTTGTGGATTATTTTTTTGCCTTGTTCCTTTTCTAATCTGCTGCGACTTCTTAGGCTTTAAAACTTTTCTTAACCTGTAAGTTTTGAAATTTCCTTTAGACTGATTAAAAAATCAGATGTAGAAATCAAGGCTAAACATTCTGCTTTTATAATTTGTGAATAATTAAAACATAAATTGTGTTTGTAATTGGATTACATTTTGCTAGTTTTTTCCAGCATCGCTTACTTTGCATATATTTATAAGGCTTCAGAGAATTCGTATTTAATCTATATGGCATAAAAACTCAGTATTACATTAAAACCTTATTTGTTCAAGTATGAATGTTTGAGCGGTCAGCTTTGGGTAAATGGTTTGTATCTCTTTTATCTTTCACCCCTTTAATCCTTCACTCGGTGGCTAATCTAATCTTCTTGGTCAACTTCCAACCACTGGATAGTTTTCATCGYTGGCATGTAAAAATAGGATCATGGCTGTGTCTTCTGAAAGAGTTTTCTATATTTTAATGTCTGACTGGAAATGATACGAGCTGTGACGTCTCTCTAACACACTAACGGAGCACTTCACTCTGCAGTTTTACTTTCTTTTTTTTTCTTAAATAACTCTAATCTGTGCAGCACATGCACAATCCCGCCGACTCCTGCGCCGAAAACCTCTCCTTTCTTGATCCGCTCTTGGTTTCCTTAATAACACAACCTGCCCAGCTCAGGATTGTAATGATATGATTTGTGTGTTCACAGAAAAGAGGCGCGACCCCGCAAATGGTACGTTGTTCTAGTCTTTTGTTTTGTTTTGTTTTTAATTGAGAAACCAGATCTTGAATGTCTCCTGCTTCTAAATAAGCTGGTTCTTTAGCAAAGGAAGTGATCCCGCTGTACTCTTCTCCCTCTCTCTGTTCACTTCTCCATTTCAGCTCATCTCAGGTCTGTTTCTTGCCGTTTATTCTGTTCTTTCTTCATCTCCTGCGGCCTTTTCCAGCCCTCGTCTTCATCCGTATCCTCGTCTGCTCTCTCCCCTCCTCTCGTCGTTTAATCTGTCTCCGTTTTTCTCCTCTCTCTCTGATTCATCGTGCTGTAGGAAACCTCAGAGATTAATATGGGATTATGCGTCGGATGGGTTTTAATGGTTACGTAAAGGCCCAGCACTGTCTGGAATGATTTTCTGGGATTAGTTACTATTGTGTGTTTTTGTGAGGAAAGGAAAGGCAGGAGCTGGTATTGACAGCGAGTGGCAAGCCAACTTCAGATATTCATCAGGAATAGAAAACGATTGATTCATTTCTGCAGCTGTCTGGTTAAATACAGGCTTCTCTTTGTTTTTGTTTAATTTTTTGGGATAGAAATTCTGGTCTTCTCAGTTCAGCACATGTTTAAGAACACTTTTCTATCCTGGATATCTTAATGGACGACGGTTGTTAGGTCTGCGCGAAGCTGCAACACTTTTCTTTCCCAGACGAGCAGACGTTYGCTTGGATCGACATTGAGGACCTGTTTGGATGTGTTCTCCGCTGCAGCCTTTTCCCAATTGAAGAAGAAGAATGATGTTCTGCACGACCTTTCTTTCTGCTCCCTCGGAGGAACTCGTTTCAGAAGGAGGAGGAGGAGGTTTGGGTCCAGGCTGTCTGTCTTCATTTCACTGCGTGGTTCTTCCTCAGGATGAACTGTACCCATCTCTGTCTGATGCCTCCTCTCAYCTCTCGGACTCAAAAGAGACGTGCAGCTTGAGCGGTAAAATGCTCGTTGACATCGGTATGAGCTCCTACCGGACTGGAGGTGGCATTTGCCCTCAGGCTGCATGTCCCAGTAGAGAAAGACTAAGAGGTACGAGCGTCAGGTTAGAGCAGTGTGGTATACTTCAAATGTTTGTCTAGCTGAAACCCTGAAGACGGGGCTGACAAATCGTGCGATGGTGGATATTTTTTGCGTTATTRTGTGGTGTTTTAAATAAAGTTGTCCTCGGCACTAAGTGACGTTGCTTCAGCTGTAACCTGAGTGCGATCTCTTGTCATTTTCCAGGACCGTCGTTGCACATGGCCACCRTCGACATCAAAAACCCAGAAATCAGCGGCGTTCAGCGTTCACACAACTCTCAGACGAACAACTTTTCGGCCCCTTCCTTTCCCAGGAGGATCAAAAAGGATAAAGGGAACAACAACAATAAGAAGAAGAAGCTGACGAAGGCGGACATCGGCACGCCCAGCAACTTCCAGTGAGTCAGGTTTTTGGTCTCGAGCAGGGTTCATTTTCCTTAATTGTTTCTTGAGCGATGAAYGTCAAACACAGTTCGTTCCTTTGTCACATTCAATACATGCTTTAAATTCCCACCTATTAGATTTCAGTCTGGTTCAAGCTGACGCTTTTGCAACAAGTTATGATGCTCCCTCTTCCATATTTTACTGCAGCACATGCAGGGGGATTTCCTTCCATCAGCAAATAGTTTATAATTCGTCTCCTCCAGTTTCCTCATGCTCAGGGTTTTTCCCTTCAGTTGTTGTTTTTTTTAAATCAAACTGTGCACCTTCTTCTGGATTAGCTTTTGCTTCAATAAATGTCTCTTTAATTCCCCTTTTTGCCTCTTTTATTACCACATCTGTGCCGCATTGTTTTCATTTGCACTTAATGGTTAGATCAAGCATCGACCTATAATTTACAGTGTTGTATAAAGTACCTCAAAGTCATACTAGAGTAAAAGTACAAGTATCTTATCATAAAAGCACTTTGGTAAAAGTTAAAGTCTTCTCTAAGAATACTACTTGAGTAAAAGTTATAAAGTATCTGATTTTTTTTGTACTTAAATATCAAAATTAGCCGTTTGGCTAATTCTGGCTTTTTTAACTTAAGAATTGTCATATGTTTTATTAAATTGCACTGTCCCCTTTTAAATAAATAAATAAATAATAAAAAAGGGTAAATTTCTGACACAAAATCTACTTAAATATTAAAAGTAAAAGTATTGAGTAAAAGTGAGCGGTTAAGATTTTTTTAAATGACATTTATTGAGAGGTGACCTCCCCCCAAAAAATATTTTTTCTAACGGCGTGCAGCTGTGATGGACTGTGTACAAAGTATTACGGTGTCAGAGTGGTATATATTTATACTTCTCATCCCATCATAATTAAATTCACTCTATCCAGGAGACAATTTATCAGGATATTATTTTTTTAAATAATAACCCGGAATCAAATAGGAGTAACGACTTTCTACTTCTTACCTTTTTTTTAAAAAAATGTAAGGAGTAGAAAGTACAGATAGTTGTGTACAAATGTAATGAGTAAAAGTAAAAAGTAGGCTGAAAAATGATTACTCAAGTAAAGTACAGATAAGCAAAGTTTCTACTTAAGTACAGTAACAAAGTATTTGTACTTAGTTACTTTACAACTCTGATAATTAACAGGATTCCTAAAACAGTGCCAGTTGGATTATATTGGATTATGTTGTTRGTACACTAAACAGCTCTTTACACTTCGAGTCTTTCTGCTTTTCTGATATACTGTACCTCTCATATTTTGTTTTGCTTTTCTCACAGGCACGTCAGTCATGTAGGATGGAATCCAAACACGGGCTTTGATGTAAGCAGCCATGTTTGTTTGTACCTTGTTTTTTGGCATGTTCATGCATTTGTATATGTGTCGTCTGGACCTTCTTAAAACAGGTCTGTTTAACAGTTATCCACCCACTTTGAGGCAGATTATTTAAAATATTAAGACTGAGCTGTATGCACAAGTCGAGGGGAGTGTTACTGCTGAGGTCTGGGTGATAGGTTTGAAATTGTACAGGTCAGAGATCTTCTTCACACTGAAAATGGAAAGGGTTAGAATAAATCTGTCAGGCTTAATTTTAATGGGTGACGTCAAAAACTTCTTAACACAAAGATGTTTTACTGTTTTACCAGCTTTACTTCTGCTATTATTTTCCTATAAATGACTTAAATCCAATAAAACAAGTAGAAACCACCTTTTAAAGGACTACAGCTTTTTAACTTTTAGTTGTGTTGGTGTGAATTCAAATAGATCTTTGTGAGGAAAAACTATTTTAAAGCTTCACCAGCAATTTTTGTAAAGTGTCGCTTCAATTCTGAGAATAAAAACACAATGCAGGTAGTGTAATGCAGAGGTTCTCAAACTAAACATTACAATAAATTGTTATTTGTCTTATTTTAAAAAGTGCCCAATACATATGGGGAGCAACGCGCCAGTAAAACAAACTTACTAAACCAAACAAAAAATATACATTATTCCCATGGTGTATGAAGGTGAAAATAGCATAAAATAGTTTTTAATCGGCACAGGGTTTATGAGGAAGTCCCTGGAAATTGTTCTAACCTGTAAGGGGTCCCCAGACCCAAAAGGTTTGAGAACTCGTGGTGTAAGGAGGAGTTCAAAAGCCTGATCAACATTTAAAATGTTCACCACATGGTGGAAGCAGAGCTCTTAGATGTGCTCAACTCATCGGGAAGTGTTTGACAGGTCTGGACTACAGCATCTGATTGGACTGAACCTAACTGGAATAACCTTTTAAAGACTATTGGGTCTTAGAGATTACATTATATTAGTGTAAGGACACCTCAAAAATGTTTTTTCTTTCTTTCTTTCTTTCTGTAGCTGAATAACTTGGACCCTGAGCTAAAGAACCTGTTCGACCTGGCTGGAATCTCCGAGGCCGAGCTGAAGGACMGGGAGACTTCTAGGGCCATTTATGACTTCATTGAGAAGAATGGCGGCGTGGAGGCTGTCAAAAGTGAGGTACGAAGACAAGGTAAGAGTCACTGATTTACTTTAAGCTCATTTACTTCTGATTTATAACACTAAAAGTGTTTGCCTTCACTGAACTAAATAATTGGAATTATAACGGGAATTTTGGCTGCACCAAAAAAATGGTTTAATGACACAGAACTGGGAGATTATCTACAAAGAAAAAGATTCAGATAAGGTTTATGAGAAATTTCTAAACATATTTTCCTTGTTATACAATAAAAATTGCCCAATAAAGCCATACAAAAATATTCATAAAATACAAATAGTCTGCCGGTCCCAAAAGTAAAAGAAAATAATAATTATACAGACAATTTCTAAAGTATAGAACTAAAGAAACAGAACAAAGGTGTAAGAAATACAAAAATAACATTGAGAACATGTAAGAAATAATACTATAAGCATTTTAAATGGAATAAATAAAATAAMCTAAAATACATAATACCTGAAATATTTCATTGAAAACAGCAGGACTGTTGATAACATGGAGGATGTGGTAATTGTATTCAATGATTTCTTTCTGACTGTGGGACTAAAATTGGCAGTAAAAATAAAGAARCCACAGACACAGAATGTGGATGTGAAGACAAAGCCAGCGTACTGTTTTTTTAAGAATTCATAGATAAAGAATTGCAAAAACAAAACCTCCAGACTGGAATGATAGATATGAAAACTGTAAAGATCGTTACTGACGAAATTGCAAAACCACTAACTCGTGTGGTGGTCTTATCCCCAGGTCCGCCCAGGTGGAGTGGTAGGTTTCTGTGCATGAGCTGCTGTGAAAGCTTTACAACAGTGCATGCACTAAGAGTTMAACTGGTGCCAACTCTCTGCAGCTACTTTCATGTTTGCTGTTTTTTTCCACTGTGTTACACTTGAATTGGACCCCCTTTCCCGTCGTCACCTGTCAGATTTGTGGAAGAGATTTTTCCTTCATTTAAAGTAATAATTGTGTAAACGTCTGTGTTACTACTTTTTTTGTTTTGTTTTGTTTAAATTTGTTGCCACAAGGCTGATCTTGTTTGGCTTAACTTTATGAATGCATGGCTGCCACCTGTAAGATCTGCAGAGCTGACCAGCATTTTGGACTCGACAGTTTTAGTGATCAGTCAGTTTAGAAACAAATGTTGAAAACTGGAGGTCTGAAGTGAAAGCAGATCCATACAGCTTGTTGTTGGTCACTGGTGGTTTAGTTGTGACCATGTTGTCTTTGTTTTTGAACTGTCTTCAGCTCCTCCACCACCTCCACCCAGAGGCGGCCCCCCTCCCCCACCCCAGCATCACGGCTCGGCTCCCCCACCTCCTCCATCCCGGGTCATCAGGGGCGCCCCGCCGCCGCCGCCGCCG